TGGTTTATTTTACAATGGCTTTTGTTTGTCTGTAATCGTGATTCTTATCTCAGCATTTTGTATTCTCATTAAGTGACTTCTATATCTTTTATCTTGTCCCATTCGCCAGTCAACTATTTAAGTGGTTTCGTTTCACCTTAGGGATCCCATAAATGAATGTAATAGAGGTTTTCGGTTCCTGCTATGTTTGACCTCTCGTTTTGGTCTTCTTATTAGTTTTTCCATTGTTTACAATTGTCATAATTTATCTTGTTTTGATTTGTTTTCGTTGAAAAACCGCGTGGTTCTAATTTAAGACTTGAAGACCAATATGTTGTGGCCTCTGGTTTGATCGCAGTCATCTTTCTATTTATTCAAGTGGGTTGACCTCGTTGTCTCAACTTGGTTTTGATGTCAGGGCGACTTAGTAGAACGCACCTAGTCCGAAGTCGTCTGCCATAGCAATTGTCATGATTCCCAGCATCAGACAGCGGACTTGGTACATTCTCAAACGCTCTACTAAGCCCCCATGACAACAAGACTAAGTTGCGACAACGAGGTCAACCCACTTCTCATTGTTTTTAGTTGGCTAACTTTTAACGTCTGAATCTGAGATATTTCTAGTTTTATATCTTTAAATATTGTTTAGATGTTGTTTGACCTTGTTTTCGCAACTTGGTCACGTTGGTGGAAAGACTTAGAGGGACGCATCTAGTCCGGAGTCCATTGTATGCATGATTATTTCCAAAGTCGGACCGTGGACGTGGTACATTCCCAGACATTTCGCCGGCATCGTCAATGAGTCTTGCCAGTCTTAGCACCACACAACAACTCGTCAAAGAGACAAGAAAAGCTGACTCTGATCAAAGGTGTGCTAAACAGTTGTGGTATCTCCCCTTCTGCCCTGGTCTATTCATATTTCCTATACCCTCTTATCACACCTTAACTGTTACAATTTTCACCGTGCTTATTTCGATGTAGTGTTATGTGCTCCTTTGAGCGGAATTCATGAAAACCCTTCACACTCCACGCTGTAGTTCTCACCCCCTTCACCCTTGTGCTGGGAATGTTGATCAGAGTCTGCCATATTTTTACGCAGTCCTCCTTTCCTAGGTCTTATCACAGTCTCCTTTGCCCCGGAAGATCTGTCTGCTATCTCCCTGGTTCACGTATTTCACTCGATCCTTGCCACCCCATCTGTCCTACTCGAGGCGTTATTCGACCTCCCCTGCGTCTGGGTAACTGATTCGAGGCCAAAGCCTCTTAGTAAGTCTCATCGTCAAGCCTTTGCTACATTGACCACATCTCTAGTACGACCTACTTTCAGCCAACTAGCTCCAGTCTCCGCCGCGTCTATCCTGTTTCTATTTCTAATACCAAGCCTATGACATCCCATGCACTAGTCTCTTGTGTGCCAACCCACAAACGTTATGGTTCAACAGTGAGCTTAATCAAAGCAAGCAGTACCACAACATACAGTTGAATTATCTCTCGATTTGTAAGTAACTTCGGCGTCCATTATAGTTTGATATTACCTTTTATATTGTGTTTAATTACTACTTTTAGTCACTCTCGTGTTTGTTTTCATATCCATCTGCTCTCTATTACCCTCTTAGTATCGCCTATTCAGACACACTGCTTTAGAAAATAAAAACGTTATAGGGAAATTGAAGATATGAAGGCCAAGATGCTGTGGCCTCATGTATGGTCGCAGTCTCATTTCGATTTATAGAATTGTCAAACAAGGCGTGGACAAAGAAGACAATTGTAAATAAATCTTCTCATCTTACTTTTTTAAACTGTTGTAAACGTTATTGTATTACTTCTAAGTTCTGTGACCTTAAGAGAACCTACTACTCAGACAAGGTTAATAAATATATCCACCAGACTTATATTCATAAACTAAGTGAGACCTATGATACTGAACGTTATAAGTTGTTTAAGTTTATAGATATTAAGTTGAAGGATCCTGTTTCCTGAAGATTTTCACAAACCCCAGAGTATGACCGACAGGAAATCACTCAGGATTTCTTACTTATTAACAAAACGGCACCATGATAGCAAGAAAGTACTAAACTTATCATTAATTCCTTTTAATCCCGAAAAAACCGCATTCCTGGAAAAAAGGACTCTATTTTTTAATTCTAAATCATAGAAGCCTTTTAGGAGATATGTTGGTGGATGTTATCAATATCACCGACAAGTTTCCTGAGAAAACAAAACGGGAAATGGAGATGGAACTAATTCCAAAGATCTTGACACATCAGGAACCTACACAGAGGAACAGATTTGCCGTGATACGCAAAACCCTGGAAAGGAATGAACAATTAGTCCTTCAGGCGGACAAAGGAGGAACTATAGTAATAATGAACAAATACAATATATCGAGAAGATGGAACAAATTCTACGAGACAGGACCACATATCGTATACCAAACAAGGACCCAACTATGAAGATCAATGAAATCTTATGTGCCATGCTAAAAGATATGCATGGAAATGGGGAAATTGATGCATGGACAAGAAATTCAATCATAAGAAAGGATGCACGACCACCAACAGCATACGGATTACCGAAGATACACAAAGGCGAGCCACTAAGGCTGATAGTCAACAACAGTATGGGCAACACACAAATTGACAAAGTTTATATGTTTGAAACTCAAGAAATTAAATGAGAGGTTATCAAGCACGGTGAAACATTCATATGAATTTTCTTAAAAAATAAAGAGCATGGCACTGAAAAAAACGGACTTATTGGTAAGTTTCGATTTGGAATCGATGTATACAAATATATCTGGAGAAAATGCGCTAACGGTACTGCTGGAAATGCTGGACCGAGAGGATGATATTCTGGAATAACATTGGATTGGTAGGGAGTCATTATCAAGACTAAACAACTTGACACTTTTGTCAAACGTATACATGAACAAAATAGAAGAGAGCTTCAAGACGGCACCGCTACAACCTACAGTGCTAATGCGGTATTTGGATTATTACTTCGCACTTTGGTCACATGAAAGAGAAAAACTGGAGGAGTTTCTGAAGTTTGTAAATCAAATTGATGGAAAAATTCAATTCACGATGGAAGTAGATGAAGGTAAGCGGTTACCGTTCCTGGACGTTGAAGTGATTCGTTTTAATGGAACGCTGAAAAAGAAATTGTTCAGAAAGAAGTCCTATGCTGGAGTAATGCTCAATTTCCGTTCCCATCACAATTACAGGCTAAAGATTGGAATATTGAGTAGCATGATCATCCGAAGCCTACGCCTAACGAATGTAGATTTCTGGGACGAGGAACTGGACAAATTGACGAGGATATTCCTCGACAATAGCTACCAAATCGAAGTGATAAAAATGAAACATACGGGCCATGAAAAACCGATGGCGGAACGTTGACTATGAAAGAACAGTAAGGATGATGAAGGATTCACAAAAGTGGATATGCCTACCTTTCTGCGAACTAACTTAAAAATTATTGTCAATATTGAGTAAATGGAATATTCAGGTGGCCATGAAAGAGAAATCAACACTTTTCACAAGTCTACTAACGCAACATGAAAGGATAGATAAATTGGATTGTTCATAAGTTTACTGTGCGGCGCCTGCGATCAGAAATAAATTGGCGAAACAGGGAGAAAAATTAGCACGA